CTTTAATCAAAAGCCAAGGAATAGGATATTAACTAGACAATAAATTTCGTTGTCAGTTTGTTAGTCTGTCACCGTTTTTAATTATTTTTTGACGTTTAGCTTGAGCCACTAATTTTTTACATGTGCGGTGCCTGTATGTTTGCATGTTTGATGTTCTGGTAGGTAACGAAATAAACAAGTCTTGCACAAAGTAGAATCGTGCGCCAAAACGATGGCGCTGAGTAAACAAAAATAACATCGGACGTAAACGTGGCGGCAGTGGGCCAGTGGGGCAGCGAAATGTTGGCTTTCGTTCTTACTGGTCAATGACAGCCCATTATCAAGTCGGGTGGGCTCGACGCGTTGACCCAGAAGGACACGCCACATTCCGAATGCCTTAGCGGTGAAGGCCCGGACGCTCGCTACGGATTATCTCTAAACAAGCCTCAAGGTCGCACGGAAAGGAATAGAAATGTACTATATTTAAAAAAAGAAGGGGATTTAGTAATTCTTTCTTTTATGAAATTATTATAAATCTACATAATAATTTCTTTCGATATACACTTACGAATTATTACGAATTCGTGTATTAATTTAACTAGCCGTACCTGACCAAGCTTTGCTGCAGTAGATGACACTGCTATTGAGGTTATAAAAGGTTAACGGTTTTTTTCTACATACCGTTTTGATACCGGCCATAGACGTTATAAATACGATTTTTCAATCAATTATCTAGCGATGAAGAATATTTGGTAAATTGAAAATTTTAAAGGAATGGACGTTAAAATGCGTAACGTTTGTAGCTAAATAAAAGTATTATACGGATCCTAATGAGCATAATTCGTTTTTAGTTCTCGACATTTCAAACGCTACATAAAACAGATTAAGCGCATAATATCTGTAAAATAGTCTTATTTAAATAGGATAGTGTTCGCGTAAATGCAAGAAAAGTTATTTATTTAGTTAGACATATTAGGAAAATTATTTCATGAATATAAAATTTAAATATAGTATTAAAATTGTTTTATAAAAATATGGTTACATAATAGCCTAGCCGCTTTAAACACTTTAAAGCCATTGCGCATGCGTCGAATGCTAATTTTCTCAGCCGCCGTTGCACCGAACCAAACAATAGTTGGAAAGATAATAAATACTCCGAAAGAAATGTCTTTTTTTTTTCAAAATGACAAATTTAAAAGTTACAACAATTCACAACTGGCTGCGAAGAGGTGCGGCTAAGTGCGCAAAGGCAACCGTTATTTTTCAGTCTTCATGTATATTGCCGTGAAGTAGACTATTTTTTGTAATAATACTACTTTTTTGCCTCTTTTTATAAGTAATTAGGTAAATGATCTGATATATTTTGTCGTCGCCCTGAATAAAAAAAAATTATGTACTTACAATAAAAGAGTTTAGTTGTGGTAATTACGGTACGGTAGTGAAAAATTTGCAGCATATACAAAGTTGATCTCACTTTTAACAATTGGAGGAATCTTTAAGTTTCTTTTCCACGGTAATCATTTTCAAGCTGTGCCACTTTGCAAAGCTATTTTAAGAGGGATAGTATTTTTTTTTTATATTTACGAAGATTCATTTAAACTTTGACTTATTTTAAACTAGCTAGTGCCTGCGACTGCGTCTGCGCAGGATTAGTAATTCGAGTAGCTTATTTTCCTCTCCAAACCAAAATTCATTAAAATTGGTTTTGCGGTTTACTCGTGAAAGCGTTACAGACAGAGTTAATTTGAGAGACCCTTGTATCTTAATAAATTACTGCCTATGTGTTATTCTGATGTGTAAGCTAAATTATAATCAAGTTTCATCTAAATCCATTCAGTTGATTTTGCGTGAAAGAGTAACAATATGGATGTCTATACATACGAACTTTCGCATTTATAATATTAAGTAAGGAAATAAGGATAAGTAAAGATAAGGACTAACTATAATAACTTAACTTTAAAATAAGTTATTATAGTTAGATAAAAAAAGTTAACTCTCTACAGTAATAAAAAACAAAATAACGCATTTTATTAGGCGACGCACTCGTACCAACTAGAGAAAGTGGCGTAATCATTTCGAAAATAAAATTTCGAGGGCTAATTCACAAATATTTGTCCAAATCTTTGCCCAAAAGTGTATTATATTTCTAGTCTATTCCAGTTAGACAAAGTAATTAAATTATTCTTGATTCAAAGTATTGTAAGTGGTAGGGCCACGCAGCAGCCTCGGCTGTTGCTCGAATGGGCAGGCTCGTCCGGGTAAGTACCACGACCTCATAGAAGACTGATGTGAAAGGGAATGAGTGGTGTGAATGGAGTGAGGTAGCCGGAGCCCAATTTTCAAAAGGTTGTCATGTCCATGGGCGGCGCTATTCACTTAACCGCCTGCTCGCTTGGTAACTTTTCACATTAAAAAAAAGTAGATAAACAGATTTAAAAGTAAGTTGATGTAAAAAATTATGGATGCAAAATAAAAGTTTTTAACCTGGTGTGTTTTGGTGTTGTTATAATTATTTATATCTCCAGAAAAATCAATGTCACTGACCCCACAATCGCAATCCCTTGTATCCGTATTGTGGTTTACAAAGCTTCTCGCCCTTTTCGACCACAGCGTAGATTGATACGGTCAAACCGCAAGTGAACTCGGCCTAAGTAACTTATATATTAGAGCAAACTCACCAGGAAAACAAATATTATTATATTGTCGATATGACAGAATTTTTCGAGTTAATTTTAGTGCCTTTTTCACTATATTTATCTACAAATCGATGCTGATGGATTAAGTTTATACGAGTAATCTGAAGAGAGCTGTGTTGTCGTAGATAAATGTAAATCATTATTTATTGTTACGCTTATATATGGTTATAGAAAAAGAAATATATAAAAAATAAATAAGTATAAGAAATTTAGAAAAAAGATAATGAAGGAAAAATATTACTTGACGGATATGTTTTTACCGCTAGGTACGTAGTAGAGAAAGCATATAAATATGTATATTAGATGGTTCGTTCATTTATTTTACTTTTTACGTTTAATACTTTGATTATATATGTATCTTGTCGAAATGTGGTAATGGTACGAAAGAGAGAGTAGAGAAATTAAGAAATATCAGTATTTCCTGTCTAAATTTACGAATACAAGTAAACGTAACTGCGATCAAATGTTCTACAATTCATCATCAAACGGTGAACGGAGGTACCCTACCATACATATGGTACCTACTTTTACTTTTTATATTAAACGAAATTTGGTTACCTTTTTTCCACCAACCACTCTGCCATACTCACTTTCTCTCCCGGGCGTTGACAGACGCTGACACAAGTGATCTTGTGCTAGGGAGCATTACAGCAGTTTTTACCTTTGCATTGTTATACCTAGAAATTTACTAGAATAAGATCATTCCGATATTTGTAAATATTTTTCATATTTAAATGTCTCGTGAATGAACTGTTTGTAACAGCTACATAATTCATTCTTGAAAGCTTTTTAAAATTATGGTATAGGTTTGATTAGTATGTGTTGGTTTGATCGTTCGTTGTCCGTAACGGATGTCTACTTTTGCTAGATCACTCTTCCCATCAAAGCACCTTCTACTGGGGTAGTGCTGTCCGGATGACTAATACTGGGCCCTATCTATCGCAGAGCTATAATGATTCTTTGCGTTTATTATTTGTCACATAGAAATTATATAGTATTTGAAAATTGTACTTCCAGAGACTTCTCCCATTCTTATAACGACAAGAGTTCTAACTTCTTTCAAGAAAATTTCTGTTCAAAATCTGTGAAGAAAAGGACAAAAATTATTGTTCATATAATTAATTCTGTTTATTTGTAATTCATTTATAATTACTTATGGTCTAGCTCATATATTTATATTTAAAAAAAATATTCGTGATAGATTTGTCTAAATCAAATATGTGTTGAGGTGTCTAGGTATTTTCTTCGTAGTTTTATATATATATATATATATATATATATATATATATATTACGATGGATTTCTTTTTATATTAAAGTTTCTAAATAGTCATTTGTTTACTTCAAAAAAAATATTTATTTTTAAAAAGTAACTAGCGGTATTCCGACATGTGACGGCGGCTCACGGCCGAATCGGTTAAGCTTTCCAGTGTCCACTCGACTTTCTTCGTATACCTACTTAAATATGTTTTATGTAATGCCTCTCACTGCACCCGCATCGCCTATTGGTCCACTATTATCTAATTATTGCATCATCTATTATTGTGTCGCAAATCATTAACTTCGTGAGTTTTCTATAAAAAAAAGTTTTGTTATTTTTATAGTGTTCTTATCAATATGAAAGCCCTGATAAAACCTGTACCTAGCTGGTATTTTTAATTATAAAAAATGGTTTATAAATATTATAAACTAGTATAAAAATGTCATTGGTGGATCACCAGTACTTAGGTATATATATTATAATATTTTCTGTTTGACTTACTTATCATTTCATAAATAAACTGAAATATATCTACATCAAAAATAAGTGTTTTGGTCACATTTCGTGTCTTGTTTTATTTTATCGACATGTTCAAAACAGTTCATTATCAAACACTCGTATATCTATGAATTACCCACCTTCCGCGCCACACAGTCTCATGGTAGAGAATAGACAGGTTGCGTAATATTGAATGATACTAAATTAAATATTTAGTTGGCCAATTTGTGTGCGGCCATCGACCTAACTTATGTAACTTTATCGAATAAGTTTTAAAGTTGGTTCGCATACATCAAAATCTATTAAAGCTTTTGTTTTTTGAAAGTGTAATTTATTGAATGTAATAATGCATAAGACAGGCAAGTAGCAAATTATTTATTCAATTTTATAAAAATATACTGTCGTAGGTAAACAATATTAGTTTTTAATTAAAGGTAAAAAAATTAGATGTAATTTACCCGGAGTCACCAGCTTATAGGTATATAAAACTTACGTAATATCTTCTTAATCACTACATTTACCAAACTAGTCTATTAATTAAAATTTACAGCTAGAAAAACATTGCTATGCATTTAAATCGCATTCATTGTACCGCTTTTCGCACACGTCACTATGGTTGTAAATTTCTTTCGTGGTCGGTAGATGGCGGTAAAGAATTTCAGCTCCAAAAGAATCTGTAGAATTATTGTTAATTCTCATATCGCTTCCACCGAATACCGTATTTTGCATTTTGGTAATAAATGGTGTTATTTTGCATACTAATAAACGTATGCAACTAGTTTCCTCCTGTGATTCCTGTTCTTTTATGATGTCTTCAATAAGTTCTGATAAAGATTCATTTTTAGCAGTGGCAATAATCTCTTGAAGTCTTCTAGACTTTTTGTTCAGGATCCACTCTGTGGGATTTTCAACTCGATGAGGTTTGCCTCTCTGTAGTTTTCCGGAAAGGAAAGTTGATATCTGAAAGTTATTAATGTCTTAATTAATATTTGTTATTCCTCAAATGGGATCGTTTGGGAAGTATAAGGACGTCACAGAAATGCTACGTGTGGTGGTCCAGGCAGTGGAAGTATTATACTTGCGCATTAGTTGTGCGAGGTAACTGGACCCTTGGACTGGGGGCATGGATAGTTGTATTCACTTAACATAAGGCCAACCATCTGTGCACTTAACAACTTTTTGACAACATTGGATATATCTGAATATTGTGGTAAATATGAAAGCTGCTGCGAGGTGCCGAAAAACACATACATATAGGTAAACACGAGCGAGATTTATATCGCCTATCTTTTCAGATTTCCTTGGACGGCTTTATCCGAAAATGAAGTAGATAATGAAAGGCTTGTTAAAAGTTAATAGTAAAGTATTAAATAAAGGTTATAAACATCAATACTTAATGAAACTGTTTCCATTGTGATTCTCACCATCTGTGCTACAAACACCAAAGCATTCACTGCGACTGCGCTTATTTGATTCGGCCTCAATCCTAACAAACGGACAAGATGGCGCCACGGTGACATTGCACTTGTTTGGTAAAGTGCATTTGGTTTATCTTTGTAAATGCCCTCTTCGCTTTGAGAATCTTTCTCCGCGTAGTCTTCATTTGTGGGTCGAGTTTGCTTCTTACGTGACGACGAGTTCGGACCTTTGACCGTGTTAAATGCTTTCACGACGAAGTCAGCTACTTTAAGAGCTACAGACTCTGAACCTAGAAAAAAAACAAAATAACAGTTGGCTATAGGAATAATTTTAACCACGCCCGTCAATTTCATAAATTTCGTCATTGGTAGAAACAAATTATGTTTTCAGTACTGTTTTTGTTTGCACCAACAGGTATTTGGCACATCTTTACTTTATAAGTGATTGCAAAATATTTGTGGGCGAAAACCTCATTCTTCAAATCTGTATAACCAGTTGCATACACCACTCCTCCATAAAACACTTAAACAAAAATTAAATTTGTATTTCCTGAGTATAAATACTGAAAATAGTTTGTATCTTCGGAGATATAAATTTAATGCGATGAAATTTTTTCTACCGAAATACACAAAAACTATGTTTATTACTTCAAAAAATAATGTTATCAAAAATTTTAAAATTAAGAGGTAAAATAAATATTCTGATGTAATAAAAGAAATATTTATTAAAAAAATATTCGGAAATAATAAAAATAACCTGCTAATTTGAAGTATAACAAGTGAATATTTTTTTGTTTAAGGGGGCAAATTTTGTTTTTTTTTTCTATTATTTCAAAATTAAATTATAAACATAAACAGTCTCTACTACTTTTTGTTATCCTAAACGAATGGATAGAATAAAAACACAAACTTACCAAGAAAGTCATGTGCGAATTTCATTCCTGTACTCAAGGTGTCTAAGAAACCTTCCCTTCCATAATTTTCATAAGCAAAAAGTATTGGCAGTGAAACGAATAAAATAAACAGAGCTCCCGACGCCATCTTGAGGCGAACGGCAAGAACACAATGCGCATCGGAACGTGTAGAGATCACGCATCGTTTCGTGTCGTAATAGTGTCGCAAACGCAACTGTCGCACTGGAGCATAAAATTTAGAAGTAATTAGGTTCTTCATTCACATTATGATACATGATGTATACATTTTTATTATATTTTAGTGCTAAAAATGGTTATTTTTGTATATTCCTTACATCCATTTCCTTCGATAAAATTTAAACTGTTTGCACGGCTCATACTAGATGGCATGACTATCGTAGAGATTGTTAATATCTCTATAAACTGAATATACCTAATAATGTTGTACTTTTATAACTTATGATCAGAAAAAATTCTAGTCCCTAAAACTTAATGTTTCTAGGTAATGTGGCAAAGAAATTATCTATTTTAAAAGCTATTTGGCTATTTTCCCCGCGGAGAAGATAAATATTATAAGATGTACAATATTTCAAAGCGCCTAGACAATATTCGAGCCGTGATAGCTCAGTGTCCGGGCGATTGCCTTTAATTTAATATACTCGAGCAACCTGAGTTCGATCCCCGGTGCCAGTACCAATGAAATTGTTCAATTTTAAGTGCTGAATTATCACGAGCTCAACGGTGAAGGAAAATATCATGAGGAAACCTGCATATTTTCGAAATTATAACAAAAAATATTTCGAAGATATGTGAAGTCCGCCAATCCGCAGTGGGGCCACGTGGTGGACTATGTCCTGATATCCTCTGTAAAAGGAGACCTTTGCCCAACAGTGGGACATGTATAGGCTGATACTTTACTTTTACTTTACTAGACAATGTTTCAAAGGGCCATTGGAAGCGGCTTGTCCGAAAGTAGAACTAATTTTTAACAAAAAAATATGTACGATACGACAGCTAGGCTATAAATAAATTCAAACAAAAATATTCATATTTGATTATTAAATAGTCATGAGTAAAACTAACACATAAATAAAACAAAAAAGTACCTGTTGCACATCATACTGTATATAGAAAGACTATAGGAAAGTAGATATTGTGCCCACAACGGAGCGCGAACGAGTATTGTTTGCAGGCTAGGGATGTTATGTACCTACTCTAACAACACTGCGACGAAGTACAGTACAAGTATAGCAATCGTTTATAGAACACTAATACTAATTAATTTATAAATTTCACAAAATAATACGCAGGTAGAGTTAAATTTCTTGCTTGAACGTTAGCGCTCAAGGTTACCAAACACCTAGTTATTTATATACATTTAAGTAATGGTTGTAAAGCTATTGCAGAATAATTCAAATGCAATTGTAAACCAAATCTTCTCAACACTTGACCTGCTCTTTCAGACCGCTATAAAATTGTCGTGCTTCGTAGACCACGATGATCTGTTCCCATCGTTAACTATCTTAGCATTCCACATTCAACAGTCTATCAGTGAGCGCCATGTTTTACTCGCTTTATATAGTAACATGCTCATTCCATTTTTCATTCTATTATTTCGTGACCGCTGAATCAGTCACGGAGGAGATTCAATTCCTCAACGAGTTGCCTCTTGAGAAACTTTTAAGACTGAAGAATTCTTTACGAGATCTCGCGGTGCCGGAATATACTAATGAAACTGCCGCAGATCATAATTTCATGCAAAATTTCGGCGCACAGGCTATGGCTATGAGAGCACCCGCGATAAAGAGAGGTGATTATGAGGAAGAATTGTATAAAAAGGGGAGCGTCAGCAAAATAAGCAACATATTCTCCATGTCCGTAACAACGTTGGCGTTTCTGGCGTTCGGTGGCTACCTCCTCTGTCTCATAGTTCAGGCGGTGAAGTCTAAACAGGCATACAATCCGGCGACCATGGCTCCATCGACTTTCCTGGTTAACGCCGGAATCAAGAAACCTCAGTCGCAATTTGCTTCGTACGGCCGAAAAAGGCGGGATATTGAGTTGAGTGACATAGATTTACCGCCCGACGAACTGTTTTCAGCATTGATACAACTTTGTGAAGGGTATGCACAGTGGAGTAAACTAAACGGAGATGGGTAATTAAACATAAAGTGTTTACTGCATCTTACATTAAAAGTGTTGAATAAAGAAAAAACGCGCAGAGCTTATTGGTATCTTCTTAAACGTTTATTTGTTGGATTGAAAATAGATTGGATGCATATTACGTTTAATTACGCTTTTTATTATTATATTGTTCCTAAATTTAGATTTTTGTTTTCTTATTATTGTTCAATTGTATTAAATTTAGTACAAAAGTTAGTAGCGTTTTGATGTTGTAGTATTCTATTTTTATAGCAACTTTGGATGTTAAAACCCACAGAACAATAGGTAAATATGTCCATAAATATAGCTAGGTAGAGTAGTGTGGTAGAGCTGACTCTAGAAAGAAATTTCAATGTCTTCACAAAAGGCCGCTGCGAGTAGTATTTATTATTTGTGTTTCTGGTTACTGACTCTATGGGAAACTCTCGCATTAGAATATTTGGAACAACTGCATGCCCTCCACTGTTGTGTAGGTCGATGATTGCTACTAATCTCCTACCATCAGGTGAGCCATTAGTTCGTTTGAAGCCTTTTCTTGTAAAAAAAACCCTAAGATAATCTCACGTGGTCTCACCCGGTACACAGAAGTGGTATTTACTTGCCCAGTTCATACTTAATTCAAGGCATCAATGATCCATCGTAGCAAAATTAGCACATAAAACGAAAACCTATTACTTTTCACGAAACGCCTTCCACAAAACACTGTTTACATTAAAATCAGGAAGCCAGATTGCCCCCTCGATATACCTACAATCTGTAAACGTTTTCAACCTGTCAAATAATCACGCTAACACCTAATAATAGCTGTATCTTCGTTTTAAAGATACTATTGTGTGTGCCGTTCAAAATTCGCTTTGATATAGTGCGCCGCCATAACAATTTTTATTACCCGTACGTTAGAGTCGAGAGTCGCATGTAAAGTTGGAGTTTTTTTATCATATTTTGGTATGTTGTAAGTATTCGGTCTTGTTTATACGACTTGGTAATGAGGGGTGCTGCTTTAGATCTGTCATCGGGAGTGCTCCACTGTTTATCGTCCGGCACCAACACACTGCGTTACCAGTAACGTATTATTATAAAAATACCTTATTTTGTTTAAAAATCCTATCTATTATGCACGCTTCAGTAATTTTGCGAAATTTCATATTAATAAAATACAGATAGCACGAGATAGTAATATGTAGAAGAAGATTCGAAGTCACGTGTTGTATTACATTTATGTTTTTCATTGAATGATATAAATAAAAAATATGTGCCAATACACTAGCCGCTGTTTGAGACTTATTTATTTATGTGTAAAATTATATTGGTATGAACATGTTGAATTCGATAAATAACAGTAGCTGTCAGTTTTAATTTTAGTACAGCCTATTTCAAATACTGTTACAATATTCATTATACTTATATAAATTTTTAATAAAGTTGTTTTAAAATATCATTATTTAGTAAGTTCGCTTTAAAGGGAAGTTAACTATGGTTTAAGTGAACCGTATCATTGGGCTTCGTCGGTGGCTGGGAGATAAGGACTCACAAACACATGTCGCTGGTGTGGATGACGGGTTACAGCAAATACGTTGTTACAATGGGAACTGCAAGATTTTAGCATTATGTTATGTATATATTGACAACGAGTCCATTTGAAAACATCCCTCAAATAACTTTATTGACAAAAGTGCAAGGCGTACAAAAGTAAACATGACCACGGATTTAACTGGAAACCATGTGTTGGTTTCTTCTATTTAGTTATTCTTCTTGTTGACCGGATTGATTGAGACGTTAGGAGTCATGTTACTTCATAAAATCCTGTATATTTTAACTTTGGTATTCTTGTAATAATTATTTACTTAAATAATTAATCATGATTTTTATAATAAACTTACAATTCGTATACTTATTAGTAAGTTATTTTTAAAAGCTGAATCAAAGTCTGAAATCAGAAGAAGAATGTCAGTTAAAATAAAAAAAATAAGAAAACACTTGTATTCATTTTATCAGATTTTTTTATTAATTAGGACTATATTTAACTTTAACTTTGTTATTGTTTTTAAACCCTAAAGAAAATATTGACAATACCACCGTTATGCAGCGACAACATGTAACAAGGGATGAAATGCAAGGAGTGGTAGGAATGCTGAAAATTGAAAGCAATCAATCGGAGGTGGCTCGGTCTTCGGTGTAAACCAAAGTAATCACAGGACTCCGCAGAACAGACTTCTTGGTCTAGGAAGGAGTACCACTACTCACCGCCAGAGAGGTAGTCAAGGCTACAAAACTCGACTGGCGTAGGTGTTAGTCCCCAAACTTAACGAACAGAATACACGCGAATCCTCCCTCATGGAAATCAGGGGCGCCGGGAGCGTTTACGGTGCACGTACAAAATTATATTCTGTAACGTGTCCCGTTTTGACCAGCTTTAATAAGAGTAAGGGTCTGTCGATGTATTGGAAACAGTGAGCGACTGAGATTTGGGTTTTTATGTTACAAGTTTTCAAGCGAGCAGGTCGTTGTCGATGTTAAGTGAATATCGCTGCCCATTGATGTCTAAACCTGAGGTTTATCAGATGCGTTGCCAACATTAAAAGCGTGAGCTCCGATTACACGATAAAACTCGAAAGTATAAATGAAATTTCGTGTAACAGCAAACTACTGCATGACCGTAGATGACACAGGAAAATTATCCCTTCAGTCGGTCAACAGTAATGGTTTGGGCGGGAATCATGAAGGACATAAGAACTGAACTCATTTTCATAAATGGTATTATCAATTCTGATCCTTACGTCAAAAACATTTTTTTTAATGGAAAAGGAGGGCTCTGTGGAAGAGGAGGTAATCACCGCCGCCCATGACTATCTGTAACACTGAAGGGCTTGCAAATGGTTTCACGGTGGTAGGGCCACGCAGCAGCCTCGGCTGTTGCACGAATGGGCGGGTTCGTCCGGGTAAGTACCACGACCTCACAGAAGATCGGCGTAAAGTGGAAGTTCCTATAATACTTTCGCGTTTCGTCTGGTGAGTGCGGTGGCCGGAGCCCAATTTTCAAAAGGTGGTCAATGCATCTGGAACCCTCGGGTATTGCATATGTCCATAGGTGGCGGTACTTAACATCAGGTGAACCGTCTGCTCGTTTGGCAACATTTCACATAAAAATAAAATGCGTTGCCGGCCCTTTAAGAATGAATATGCTTGTTATAAACTTTCTTCGGCCTCATATTTATTTTTTATTTCATTTATTTGGTTTACTAGCAATTGTTACATTTATACATTCTTTAGGATTAGTATACAGTATATTTCTATAGCTAAATGCACAATTAATAAAAGGTAAACACCACATGCGAAGTATATCAAGTAACATCAATAAACTTAACAATAATAAATGTGTACAGAATACAATATAAAAAAGCTAGTAAAAAAAGTATTTTAAATTTGTTGCGACTTAATTAAAAATATTTATGCTATACAACTAATCAACTCATCGACAATGGTTTCTTGCAAGTGCTTACGAAAGGTATTGAGACTAACAGCTTGAATATCAGTTGATTGTCTATAATTATTCAGAAGTCGGCTCGCTCTGGGGACAAACGAGCTTGAGCCCAATACTGTTGTGCTTAAAGGTGGGACTAATGGTTTGATTTGGATTCTAGGTAGCCTATGCGGTACATTGAATCTAAATTTACTTAACAGGTTAGGACAATCTATTTTATTGTTTTAATTTTTATAATTTTAATTGTTTATAATTTGTTTTAAAAGATAAGATCAAGTACTATTCTGCGACTTTCTAGAGAATTATATTTAAAATGTTTCAGTCTATCTTTGTACGAAAACCCTTTCCTACATTGTTTAGAAGAATGGGCTAGATGCCAGAGATATCTCTTCTGTATTCGTTCTAACCTCACAGAGTGACATGCATAGTGCGGTCTCCACACAATACTACGGTATTCCAGAATGCGCAGGACAAAAGAGTAGTACAGTAGTGTTTTTGTTGGCAACTTCCGGAATCCCCTTCCAATACTAATAAGAAACTCAAGCATATTAGAAGCTCTTTTTATGACACTTTCTAAATGGGCTCACAATCACAATCTAGATCTTTAATGTATTCAGCTTTTTGTATCCTTACTCCATTAATATAGTAACTAGATTTAATAATTTTGAATTTTCTAGAGAATTTAATTTAAAATCATTTACCCACGTTTAGTTGCATTCCGTTCAATTCACACCAGTGTGACAAGGCATTTAAATCTTCTTGTAATAGTAAGGACTCGAATTCAGTATTAATTATTCGTAATAATTTCAAATCGTTGACATACAGGTATGGAACAGAATATGAGATTCTTCCCTTTTCACCGAGTATTTGCTCAGATTTTACTCTGATTCATGACAATACTCGTTGCCATACTCGGACTAAAGAATGGCTCTTACAGAACATTCAATGTCTGCTGTGGCCTGCCTCATTGTCGGGTTAAAGTGCGATTGAGCAAGCATGGGATATGCTCCAGAAGAGGAAGGTACACCACCTAACAGTTGCGGGACCTATTGAAACATCAATGGTAGCGATTACCGCAGGATGAGATCAATAACCTCATAGAATCGATGAACCGATATCGTTAGGTTCTAAATAATCTCGGTGTTCATAGGTACTTCCTATTAAAAAAAATATATTAACGAAAAAAATATATTTTATTTTATAAAACATAAGCTTTTATCTATTTATTTTCTCTTTATTTTTGTTCGATTACTAGTACTTTTTCTTGATACATGATTTATTTTATTTCAGGCTGAATCCTGATTTAAGTCGAAACATTTGTATTTTTAATTTGTTTTGGCAGTATTATATGAAGTTCAAATTGACACATTATATTTAGATCGATAAATGGCCCATGTAAAAGGAGAACTGATCATGGGGGCGTGTGGTTCAAAGGTTTACGACTAACGACACTCTAAACTAAATTGAATTCGACTCGAAATTGCCTCGTAAAAGAACTCATCGCCCGTCTTAA